GTTGTTAAGTTGTTGATGGCCCTTCTCTCTCTACGAATCTCTTGCTTTATAGCTGTCCTTACTTCTCTAGCCCATGATCCATGATCCTCCACGTCTACAACTGCTGCTGCATAACTACTGGAACTACTCCTCTTATTTCCAAAGACCCAAGCTCCACTGAATCTACCACTTTGCCTGTCGAATGGCTCCCCCTACAATATGCCACATGTCCGTCATCACTTTTAGCCCTCCCTCAACAGAGAGAAACACCTACTTTGTGCATGACTCTTCTTGCAAGTTGCCTATTAAACCCATGACTCTACCAATAACTGCTCCACTACTTAGGGCACTCTACACACATGATTCAACTTTCATTGGTGACACATGTCCTCTGATTGATGCAAGATCCTCATTTTGACCCTACCACATGCCACTACTTGACTAGTCCACCTGTTGACAAAATCTAACAAAAATGGATGCAAACAATAACGTTCAGACATAATGTATGCACACATGTAGACACCCCATTTTTAACCGCCTCTAAGACTTGGGCGCCTCAAGTTGAACACTCGATAATGAAACACTACGGTGTACATACGTTCGATTTTTTCTCAGCAAGAAGACTCGATTTTTGAGTTTCAGAGCTTAGAACCTTGCACCACCTTTGAACCAAAAACTGATTTTTCCAAGCCAGACCACCGAGAGGCCTGTTGGCCAATAGGTGGCCGGCTGGCCAAATATTGGTGGCCAGCCGGCCCCTACCTGGCCCACCAGCCATGTTTCCTAATAGAAAAGATATTTACTACCATCTGTCCCCTTATGTGCATGCACTGCACCAGCTGGCTCAATACAGATATTTCTGAGATAACAACCTATTTTTCTATATATGGGGGACCTTCCCTCTTGGTTTTAGGTTAGAAAAAATTGCCAAGTACCCAAACCTTGCAATACACTCTCCCTCTCTATCTTGTAATATACATACACTTCCTAAACCAAAAATTTGAGGCTTTTTGTTGAGGTTCTTGAGCTAAAATCTTTGCCTTTGAGAGTGGGTATCTTTTGGTTTGTGAACAAATGAGTAACTCCTCTTCAAAAGGTATAACTTTGGCTATTTTTACACTATTTCTTCCTTCTCTTTTCGTGCTATTTTTATACTGTTTTGGACTGTCTTTGATAGGCTAAAACTTGTGATTTAAAGCTACCAAAGGTGGAGGGATTAATCACCCTTCCTTGAACCCTGTCCTACAAGCTTTTATCCTTGTGTTTCCCACTTACTTCTGTACTTTTGGCCACTAATTTTCTAAGTTTTTCACAGGCTAAATGTGGTTTTGAGGTCCAAAAAGTGGAGGGGTTATCCATCTCTCTTTAGACTTGCTTACTAGCTCCAATTGTCTTTTAGTTTTTCTCACTTTTTTTAGCTTTCTCAAATCATTTTCATCACTATTTTTTTTGTATCTTTGGGGCTATTTTAATTGTTCAAATAGCTTATGCTTTGAATATCATGCTTATATTGTTGTAAGCCCTCATAGGTTTGGTGGTTTAGGCCTTAGACACCAACATATTTGAGTTGATGGCTTTTATTTCATGTTTTTCATACATGTGCTCACACTTGTGAAAATCATCTCTGGAACCTCCCTCCTTTCTTGGTTTTCTTTCTTTTTTGTTGAGAGTTGTTTCAAACAATTTATGGTTGTTCAAGGCATGCAATTGATGGTTGTTCAGGGCATGAGAAAAAGACCCGTCATGCTTAATGATTTAATCTCTTTGGAGGTTCATTACCATGGCATTACATCTCTCTCATGCTAAGGACAAGTTCTTGTTTGACACTTCTCTTCATTAGTGGACTTAATTATCACTTTTGGACAAAACGATTAAGTAATGGAAAGGTAATAAAACAAGGTTAATAAAATTGGAGTAAAAGTGGTAACAAGAGCAATAAAATGAAGTTGGTTCAATCGGGCGTTAATTGAACCTATTGCGTCTCGAGTAATCACACACTCTTAGTGATGTTAATGATTCGAGAAGTGATATCTACCACCTCCCTTGAGGTAACTCCATGATGGGGAGGAGGTTTTGTGGGTCTTTTCTTTTATTTACTAAGCTTTTGCCCCATCGATTCATAGATCATCACGCAATGAGTTTGTGACAATTGATGGTTTGCGAATCGAGTTTACCCCTCCCTTGAATAGTTTCATGATAGGGAGAGGCAAGAAGGACAAACACCTCCTGGAAACACTTTGTTTTTGCTCTGTTTCCTTTCTGTTGCAGCAGGGCAGTGTCCAAAAACAATGGCCAGCCAGCCACCTAACCATCCAGCCGACCAGTTTTTAAGGCCGGCCGACCACTTTTTAAGGTCAGCCGACCACTACATTTTAGACAAACAGTGCCATTTTCAGGGCAGAACAGAGCAGAGGCTGGGGTGAAAACAGTTTGATTGTTTGACTGCAAAACAGAACAGTTCTGGCAACAAAACAGGAGTGTTTCTGGGAGGATGTTCTCATTTATACATGTGGTTCTTCGGCTCCCGTTGTAATTAATTAGCTTACACAGCTCTTAGATTAATTAGTATGTTGCAATTAATTAGTTAATTTTTTTGAGTTTGTAATAGCTAGTTAATTTAGTAAATAATTTGGTGTTATAATAATTATTTACATTCATTCAGACCCTTTTGTGTGAGGGTCAATTTGTAACACTTGTAAATATTATGTATGTCTTCCAACCCCCATTCTTTCTCTCTTTTATTTACTTGCTTATAATGGTAGCATCATGTTTTACATTTTTCATGTCATTACCATGCTTAAATATCCATTTTTCACGTATTTGGTTCGGCGCATCATTCTAACTTTATGGTTGCTTCTTACTTATTCGAATACATGTCTTACCACATGCTATCAAATTGTTTCATATGCCATGTTAAAAACCAAACTTTATAGTTGCATTTTTTATGTGTTACATTAGGCACTTGCATAGAGCATGCATTGTTTCTGACTTTACTTCTTTCGGCTCGCCTCAGTTGAGTACTAAGTGAGCATTTATTGCTTTAGCATATTGCATGTGTGTTAGTATTGTTATACCAAGCATGTTTACCATGAGGCTAAGTGCTTAATTGATATATCTCTTGAATGCCTGTGGATGAAAGTTTTTTAGCTGAAATTTGGATGATTAGACTAATGTATATATGAGATCACTTTTTCAAGTGATACATATTCAAAATACTTTGCAAACAAACATGAAATCAAAACGTTTCAAATTTTGTGAATTAGTCTATACTTGTGTGCATCACATAGTAAAAGATAGAATAAATAATCAGAACAAGAGCATATACTGTATATAAGAATCACCTCATGATTATGGAGGCCGATCTTTGATCGGGTGAGTGGAGTGCTCAGTTCATGACCTTTCCCTCTCATACCTAAGTTCCCAAGCCAAGACACTTTGGTTATGACGGATAAGTGGCCTTTGGCACGAGTCATGGGTTTCCTAAATTTTCAAAAATATTTAGATAGCGACTCTGAAATCTAATAATGTAGTCCATTTCTGGCATCTTTAATGGTTAAAAATGGATTTTTCTAAAAATTGCGAATTCGGACTCATTTATGTTTTATCCGTTTCACATTGCACTTGTGAAACTACACTCAGAACCATGGGAGTCCGAACTATAAAGCTATCGTATCCGAGGAGACTAAACCCCTTCGAGGAGAACAAAAAGCAAGCTACAGTTTCTGGCGATTCTGCTGGAGATTTAGAGAACTTGACTTGAACTTCATGATGAGATATTTTTATCTACAGATATATGTTCTTTGCATTTCATTTGCATTGTTACTCTAAGCCACTATGTTTTTTATCCGCTAAGCTTGCCAAAAGGCTGGCCGGTCGTGGGCTCTACCATGTTGGAAACACATTGGATCTGGATTACCGTCATACCACTTGATCTTCATTTGACTTCTCAGTGTTAGGTGTGAGAGGTATATTAGGTAATCTTGTTGAGGTACCCCTTTTGACCATTTGGCCTAGCTGCATATAGTAAAGCCATAGTGACTGTTTCAAAAATAGGACAGGCTGCTCTTCCATAATCCGAATGTTATGAAACTACTTGCTTGAGGTATTGCAGCCTAGATCATGTCAAAAATCTAGGACAGGGTAACCATAGGCCCCATAGGGGTGTTTTGGTTCTTTTTACCTGGTATGTGCTTTACAGTGAAACTGTAAAGGAATGCATCATATTAGTGGTACAAGTTGATATCAGTTTGGGGGCAAAATTCAGTGGGAAAAACTATTCTTCAGTTGTGATCATAAACTGTTAATTGGGCTGAAGTGCTGTCCAATTTTTTATTATTGTTTTTCTTTCTTTATTTAACTAGGTAGTTTGCAATCATAGCTTCAGAGAGACCCGATATCCCTTGAGTTGTCTGGACTCACTCTGGCAGCCTTTGCAAAACTCGAGATCTTGTTGGCAGTCAGCCAGTGTTAGTCTCTCTCCTCCAATTATTCAATAAAGAAGAAACCGACAATTATCATCACCAGCACAGATCACTCAGCAATCACCATTCTGCTCTCACCCACTCAGCTCACCACTAGCTAATTCTTCCAGGCCCATAATGGCGCAGAGTGTAGAAGAGGTTGCTGCCATGATGGCTACTTTCTAGAGAACTATGGATACCTTGAATCAAAGGATAGCCCCTCAGGATGAAACTATCCCTAACATGTGACACCTATCTGGGGCATCCGCATCCACTGTACATCCGGTCCAGGCTGCCTAGTCGAATCCTGATCCACTTCTACCAGTTGAAAACCCTCAGGTCCTAGATCCTCAAGAGATATTTGCACAGGCTCTAGCTTACAAGCCTCTAGCACAGCCCCATGGGGGACTCATTCTCTTCGACATCAACGATGTTGATCTGACTATGATCAAAATCGCCAGGCTAGAAAAGGCGCTCAAAAAATCCCAAGGCTTCAATTACATTCTGGATATTGAAGACGGCTATACCAAAGCCTCGATCAGATTGCTAAAAAAGTTTAAGATGCCTCACATCGATAGATTTGATAAGAGTGGAGACCCGATTGTTCATGTTCACTTGTTTTCGGATGTTCTGAGGCCAATGAGCCTGACTCGGGCTCAAAAACTGTCATTGTTCGGAAGAACTTTATTGGACGTAGCAGTTATCTGGTATGCTAAACTGGAGGATTCTACGAAACAGAATTGGAAAGAACTGTCTGAGGGGTTTGTTAACCAATACTCATACAATACTCAGATAAAAGTAACCATCAGTGAGCTAGAAGCGACTACCCAGAACCCTAAGGAACCCTTTATTGACTTTGTTGCAAGATGGAGGGCAAAAGCAGCCAGAATGACGAATAGGGCATCAGAAAAGGAACAAGTTCGGTTAGTAATTCAAAATCTCGAACCAGATATGTTACAAAGAATGATAGTGGTGCCATTATCTATATTTGCTTCTCTATACGAACTGGGGGTCCAAATTGAAAGTGCATTTAAGAAAAGCATCATTCAGAGAACAAGTGAATCGGCAAAAAGGCCATTTTCCAAGAATACCAATGCTAGCAATAGCACTGTTCCTCGGCCTGCCAAGATTAGCACTGTCGTCACAGCGGCCAAAATGGCCGATCCCTTCGCCGCTACAATCTCATAACCTGTTGGCCCAAACCAAAACCAAAAAACCTTTACCCCCTTCACATGAGCCTAGCCCGTGCTCTTAAACTACTGATGGAAAAAGGGCACCTTAAACCCCTCGACCCTCGACCTCTCCCGAACCCACTACCACCTAGACATGATCCTACCCAATACTATATTTTCCATCAACAACACGGTCACCCCACCGATCGTTGCTATCGTCTGCGTCATGAGATCCAGGATCTCATTGACAATAAAAACATAGCCCCACTCTCTAAACCAAACGTGACCACTAACCCACTTCCCACCCATAACCAAGTCCCCCCACCCAGAAACATTAATCTTATCCATACACTACCGCCCATCTTTAACGCCAGCGCATATATCATCCCATCCCATCTACCTAAGCCTATGATGGTTATTTCAGAAAGCACAGATATGTGCATGATGGATATAACACCCAAAACCCAATCAGGGCCTGTGGTAACGGAGGCAAAAGAGAAGGGGAATGCACTAGAGAAGGGGTTATCTGATACCCCAGTTATAGAGAATGAGGCCTCACTTGCAAAGGAGTATGACCCCAGCCGGTATATTGTAGCTGTTGATTAGCCAAAACCTGTTATCATACTGCCATATTCCCTCAACATCAACGCCGTTGGAGAAAATGAGCCGGGGCACAATCTGAATAACTAGCCTGAACAAGGTCTTGATGACCTGGCAGAATTAGAAGAAGACTTGGTAAACCTACAGAAAGACCTGGAAAACCTCTACTTCTTCGAAAAGGAGGATGTAGGCAGCGTTCAGATTGGGTGGTGGGATCCAAGCCAACCTAAATCCAGTAACGGATGGTTGAGTAGCGAAAAAGAATCCGATACGGAAGAGCCAATGAAAAAGGATTCAAAATGAGAAGAGGTTGGTGAGAATAGCAAGGCTGAGGCCATACCTATGACCGAAAAGGAGCGAGTGTTGGAGCAATTCCAATGGGAAAGGATAGAGGAAATCCAGAGAAAATGAGAGGCCGAGTCAGCAGCGGGCAGTGTCTACCTAATACTATATTTTCCATCAACAACACAGTCACCCCACCGATCGTTTCTATCGCCTGCATCATGAGATCCAGGATCTCATTGACAATAAAATCATAGCCCCACTCTCTAAACCAAACGTGACCACTAACCCACTTCCCACCCATAACCAAGTCCCCCCACCTAGAAACATTAATCTTATCCATACACTACCGCCCATCTTTAACGCCAGCGCATATATCATCCCATCCCATCTACCTAAGCCTAAGATGGTTATTTCAGAAAGCACAGATATGTGCATGATGGATATAACACCCAAAACCCAATCAGGGCCTGTGGTAACGGAGGCAAAAGAGAAGGGGAATGCACTAGAGAAGGGGTTATCTGATACCCCAGTTATAGAGAATGAGGCCTCACTTGCAAAGGAGTATGACCCCAGCCGGTATATTGTAGCTGTTGATTAGCCAAAACCTGTTATCATACTGCCATATTCCCTCAACATCAACGCCGTTGGAGAAAATGAGCCGGGGCACAATCTGAATAACTAGCCTGAACAAGGTCTTGATGACCTGGCAGAATTAGAAGAAGACTTGGTAAACCTACAGAAAGACCTGGAAAACCTCTACTTCTTCGAAAAGGAGGATGTAGGCAGCGTTCAGATTGGGTGGTGGGATCCAAGCCAACCTAAATCCAGTAACGGATGGTTGAGTAGCGAAAAAGAATCCGATACGGAAGAGCCAATGAAAAAGGATTCAAAATGAGAAGAGGTTGGTGAGAATAGCAAGGCTGAGGCCATACCTATGACCGAAAAGGAGCAAGTGTTGGAGCAATTCCAATGGGAAAGGATAGAGGAAATCCAGAGAAAATGAGAGGCCGAGTCAGCAGCGGGCGGTGTCCAAACCACGAGAAAACCCGAATGGGAATTTGGTGATAGGGAAAGGATGCCAAGAAAGCTCAGGCAGTATCAAGATGCGAAAATTAAATCTGCTGTAGAATATGAGGGGTGTGCCGATGGAGGGCAAGATGTAAATATGATCCGAATGGACCTGGTAATGGCCTAGCAATGACTGCAGGGGAGTGGTAGGAAGACAGTGATCTGATCCATGCATATACTGATGAAAGGTGGAAAGTCGATACCCTTGACGACACATGGTATACAGATGAGATTAACCACATGATCCGAAGTGGTCGGTGTTTCAAACCACCGGCTCTAGATCAGCTGGAATCTTCCGAGAAAGAGGCTGAGAAAGCAAAGGAAAAAGGCTTAGAAGAAGACTTGGTCTTAAAGCAACTTAAAAAGATCCAGACGGATATATCGATTTGGGGGCTGCTAATGGCTTCCCGAGAGCATAGACAGGCGTTGCTAGAGGTATTGAACAGAACTAAGATGCCTATCGATACCACCACTGATCAACTGGTGTCATTGGTTACGTCTGTAGACGTTACTCTAGTGTTATTGTTTATGAACAAAGAGTTGCCACTTGAGGGTGCTAACCACAATAGGCCCCTATACGTGACTTTGGAGAGCCGTAAGAAATGGATCCAGGTGGTGCTGGTGGACACCGGTTTGGCAATAAACGTGTGTCTAGCAAGTACCGCTTGCGCCATATGTTTGAAGCCAGCTGACTTCACGCCCACAACTCAAGCTGTTCAAGCCTATGACAACACCAGCCGAGATGTCATAGGGACTTTCAAGAGCCAAATACTAATTGGTCCATCTGAGCATGAGGTTGAATTCCATGTTATGGACGACCTGCTCTTGGGAAGGCCTTGGTTACACCAGATGAAGGTAGTTTCATCAACGGTTCACCAGCTGGTGAAATATCCATTTAAGGGTGGAATTGCTACTATTTACGGCAATTCTTCTATCCACCCTCCCCAGGGAACTACCACGCCTTTGTTGGAAATATTCCATGGAGAAGAAGATGTGTTCCTCTCCGGCTTCTCCTTGGCAGAAGCCTGGCTGGTCCAATCTATTATGGCAGAGGATAACGGAAACTATGTGAGTGCCCAGTCTATCTACATGATGAATAAACAAGGGTACATTCCTGGATCGAGACTGGGCAGGAGTGACAGGTAAGAAGATACTATTGCCAGAGACTTAAGTCATAACCCCCATGTTTTTGGGCTGGGGTACAAGCCAACTGCAAAAGATTGAAAGAGAAAAGGTAAGGGAGAGAGTTAAAGTAAAAGGGCCTGGAGGTAATATGAGCTGGTCCACAAGACAATACGGGGAACCCTGAACGAACGCTTTGTCTGCCTAGGGAAAGGTTTCCCTTTCTGTGGATTTCAGGAGCCATGGGTCGACCTGGAAACAAAGACAAGGTACCCAGGATTCGAGATCTTCTTCGGACACCAGTTATTAGAAAATGAGGATAAACAAATTGACCTGAGCAGCAGTATATAGCAAGGCCAGGAATGCAAGCTTGGACATCGATGAGGGAGAACTGTTAGGAATGGCACTGGCTAACCTACTAGCAAGTTCCAATGCTAGGGATGAGCCCGTCAACTTGGGGGATAGTGTTACTATCTCTATGATCGGGGAAAAACCATCAGTAGATTACTCTAGTCTCATTGTGGACGCAGCTGAGGCTCCACGCCTAGTCTGGCAATTTGAGAAGGGCACTATTGGCAGTTCTAAATCGAATAATGAGTCTGAATCTGATTCCACTAAGTTTGTTGAGTCGAGATTAGATTCGAGTCCTTCTAAGGAGTCTGAGTCTGGTACTTCCGGGGGTGGTAACCCGGATACCAAAGTTCTGTCCAGTTCTTCTTTCAGTTTTTCTTTTGAGTCGACTATAACTGAGGATCCTAACTTTTTGAATGGGAATGCAGTAGATCTCACTTGCTTCTCTATGCCTTTAGTTTTTTGTACTGATCTTGATTTTCAAAATTTTAACTTAAAACGAAGTGGAAGAAATTCCTCAGCACAAATGAAATCATTGCAATTAATGTGGGTACTGAGGAGGATCCCTACTTGGTCTAGATAGGGTCCATGTTGTATTCGGAGGAACGTGAGTGTTTAATCGCTTTATTAAAAGATTTCAAAGATGTTTTTGCGTGGTCTTACAAAGACATGCCTGTAATCGATCCTGAGATTGTACAGCACCAGATCCCTCTTGACCCCGAGGCCCGACCGGTTAAACAAAAACTTTATAGAGTTCATCCAGATTGGGAATTAAAGATTAAAGAAGAGGTCACCAAACAGATTGATGCAGGTTTCTTAATGGTGTTTGAGTACTCGACTTGGCTGGCTAATATCGTTCCAGTTCCAAAAAAGGATAGCAAAATCAGGGTTTGCGTCGACTTTCGAGATCTAAACAGAGCTAGTCCGAAAGATAACTTTTCATTGCTGCACATCAATGAGTTGGTATACTTTATTGCTGGCCATGCGTTGCTATCGTTCATAGATGGGTTTTCTGGGTATAATCAAATTTTGATAGCACCAAAGGACAGAGAAAAGACTGATTTCACTATGTGGTGGGGTACATACTACTACAGAGTCATGCTTTTTGGGTTAAAAAACACTGGGGCCACATATCAAAGGGCTACAACCGCGATCTTGCACGACATAATCCATAAAGAAGTTAAGGTGTATGTCAACGACATGATTTTCAAGTCTAAGGAGTGAGAAGGCCATTACACCACTAGAAAAATTCTTTGAGCGAATTAGGGAGTACAGACTGAAGTTGAACCCACAGAAATGCACCTTTGGCGTGACTGCAGGAAAAATGTTGGGATTTCTGATCATGCAGAGGGGAATTTAAGTAGATCCATCCAAGATCAAGGTCATCCTAGAAATGCCACCACCAAGGACTAAAAAGGATGTGCACGACTTTCTGGGCAAGGTGCAATTCATAAGACAGTTTATCTCAAAATTAAACTTGACTTGTGAACCATTGTTTAGTCTTTTGAAGGGAAGAAGTTCCAATAAAATGATCGATGCTAGTTTGCCTTCGAATAGGTCAAGCAGCACTTGCAGAATCCACCTGTATTA